GAATTTCTTTTTTTCTTTTCTTTCAATAAAAAAGATATAAAAATAAAAAAATATTAAAATAAAAATAAAATAAAAAACTGATCATTAATTTTTGTCTTGTAACTGAGACAATGTATATTGCAAATAGCGTGAATCCAGTTCCTTTAGTGCCTATTGTAGATACTTTCATCTTAGCCAGAAGCTATGTCTGGAAAATTTATATTATTAATGATGGTGGGTAAAATGAATAAAATGTCTCAGAACACAAATTACTGGAAAAAGCATGCAAATGGATGGAAATAGAAAACACTATCCTGAGTGAGGTATCCCAGACCCAAAAAGATGAACAGGGGATGTACTCACTCATAATTGGTTTCTAGCCATAAATAAAGGACATTGAGCATATAATTTGTGAACCTAGAGAAGCTAAATAAGAAGGTGAATCCAAAGAAAAACATATAGTCATCCACCTGGATATGGGAAGTAAACAAGATTGCCGGGCAAAAACTGGAAACTTGGGGGTGAGGTGGCATGGAGCTAAGGGGAATTGGGGTGAGAAACGTGAGAAGAGGAGGATGGAAGGAGCTTGGGGGAATGGGATGGTTGGGATAAAGGAAGGGTGAACACAGGATCAGAGAAATATATATCCTGATTAAGGGAGCCACCTTAGGGTTGGCAAGATACTTGACTCTAGAGGGGCTCTCAGGTGTCCGGGGAGATGTCCCCAGATAGTACCTTGAGCAACTGAGGAGAGGGAACCTTAAATGACCCTATCCTATAGCCAGACTGATGAATATCTTACATATTACCTTAGAACCTTCATCTGGCGATGGTTGGAGATAGAGACAGAGACCCAAATAGGAGCACCGGACTGAGCTCTTAAGATCCAAATGAGGAGCAGAAGGAGGGAAAACATGAGCAAGAAAGTCAGGACCACGAGGGGTGCACCCACCCACTGAGACAGTGGAACTGATCTATTGGGAGCTCATCAAGGCCAGCAGGACTGGGACTGAATATGCATGGGATGAAACAGGACTCTCTGAACATGGCGGACAATGAAGGCTGATGAGAAGCCAAGGACAATGGCACTAGGTTTCAATCCTAATACATGAACTGGCTTTGTGGGAGCCTAGCCTGTTTGGATGCTCACCTTCCTGGACCTGGATAGAAGTGGGAGGACCTTGGACTTCCTGCAGGGCAGGGAATCTGGACTGCTCTTCATTCTCGAGAAGGAGGGGGAATGGAGTAGTGGAGAGGGGGAGAGAGGGAGGGGAGTGGGGGGAGGGGGCAATGTGTGGGAGGAGGGGGAGGAAAATGGGAAGTGGGGAGGAGGCGGAATTTTTTTTCAACAACTAAAAGAAACAAAAAATAAAGAAAAAAACAAATTAGTGGAAAAATTTGCACAAATAACAAGAATTTACCTTTAAATTTAAAAAGTGCTATTTTTTTTATCTTCTATCTAAAACTAGTTTTAATTTCACCCAGGGCTTTGTCTGCTTAAAATGAGTTGCTTTAGTTAAACACCTAAATACATTTTACAAAAAATGAAATGAGTATCTATATCTTAAAGAAAAGGAAACAAATATAATCAATGTAAAATGCACCCCTACAGAGACACTATTGGCAATTAGTAATCAATGTGAGAGAGTCTGTCCTTTTCTTCAGTTCCGTATCCACAGATGACTTCTACTTGCTCAACTAAATAATCTACTTCCTGTGCTTAGGCAGTTGGCTCTTTCTAAATTCAGTGGATCACACACAAATCCTGGACCGTGTAAAGGATGGGGGCTTCTTAAGGAAAACATTTCTATTGATGGAGAAATGGAATGCAAAAAAAATGGTATGTGTAACTGATTAAATGCATCTTATCGATACATGAAATGGTGAACAATAAAAATTTTAAATTCCTCTACATTTTATACATATTTATCAACTTCAAAATGATATCTCACTAGCAACAGATCACACATGTGGAGGTGGTTACATAAGTTCTGTACTTAAACTGTGGCCATGCTGTTTTTCCCTATGACATGTGCAGTATGAAAACACTGTCTCATAGTGAATTTTGAAATTGTCTTCTCTTAGAATTCAATGATGCACGATCAATGTGTAATAAAAAAGTATTCAGTGCTATGCAATGAATATATAGTAAGGTATTCTGACATTTGTTCAACATTTGAAAAACCATCACTGTCATATATCACAACATTATTGTGAAAGCAACAAATGCAGAGATATGGAAGAAGCAATATTTTTAATTATGATATTGCCATTTCTTCCAAATTCTCATAGAATGTGGAATATCATCTTGTTAATGAGGTCATATTTGAATAAGTTTTAGGCAACATATTTAATAGACAAAGTCAGAAAAATCCCCTGATGTTGATTTAGAATGCAGTGTGTCCCTTCTGTTCATCATGTTAAGTACAGCACTTGAAATGTTAGCTAACGCAATCAGAGAACTAAAGAAAATACAATGTGTGCTTAATTTGAAAAAAAGAAAAAGAGAGGTTGTTAAAGAATAGAGTAAATAAATGTTAACAAAGGAATAGAGATGTCATTTCAGACAAATTGACTATCTTCTCAGAAGTTGTCTCAGAATGAATGCAGGTGAGGGCCAAATGTTGAGGAGCTGGGGAGAATGTATGAATATAATCAAAATATATTGTATGAGATTATCAAAGAATTAACAAAATATTCTTTTAAAAGAAACCATGTTTTTAACTGTAGGGTAAAAGTTAATATTCATAATTAATGAATCCTGGTACATTAAGGCCATATACCAGACAATTCCTTTGTGTTAAACATCAATCAACAGTGAGATATCAAATTACAAGAAAAATATCAACTTTATGTAGCTCCTGTTGTCCACACATGTTACCTTTTCTTGGAGTTATGATAGTGACTGTGAGTTGAGTATATAAGGCAATTAGCAAAGGCCAGATGTAGAACAGTTGACTTATTTTCTCTTTTCTCAGTAGGAAAGGTAAATGCTCATTGTGAAAAGCATTGATTTGTCTATGTAAAGGAAAAGGTTATTTGAAAGAGAGGGAAAGTTGGGCCCAACACATGCATGAGGTATGGAAATAAGATGAGGAAGAAGTGAACAAATATCCATGATGAATTGTGGAAAAAGGAGTACAAAAAGCAGCCAAAATGGTCTTGAAAACATGCCCCAGAGTTTCCTACATCCAGAACACATTTATTGGTGGTGGGCCTGCTTGTTTATCCTGGCCACCCAGCTATCCTAGCCCTGAAATAACCACACAGAAACTGTATTAATTAAAACACTGCTTGTCTCATTAGCTCTAACTTTTTATTGGCTAACTCTTCCATCTCAGTTTAGCCCATTTCAATTAATCTGTGTCTCACCACATGGCAGTGACTTACTGGGAAAGATTCAGCACATCTGTCCCTGACGCCTCCATGTTGTCTCTCTTCCTCTGTCTTTCTTCCTTCCAGCATTTAGAAGAAACTCCTATACCACACATTTGTTTTCTGGACCACCTAAGAGTATGATAGCTTAATGTATATCCAGCTTTCTTTACAATAATTACTTTCTTGTATGGGAAACAGGATTTATTTCCCATGGTCTGCACAACCTGATGGATGTTTTTGTTTATCTCCTGGTTACATGTTTTTCAACTCTCTTGCTGTGCCAAGCCTCTAACAGAAGAACCACTAGAGTCACTAGGGCCAAGGCAGCCACAACCATCTGGATGAGGTTTGCAATTGTGTGACCTTCGTGCTGTAATGCTGAGGATTCTGCAGAAAGAGGTCAAAGAAGTCAGGTCACACCAAAACTTCTCAGAATAAATGATTTTGCACTCAGTGTTCCATCTCCTTGAAAGAACTACAATCTTTGTGTCTATCTCTAATATAGAGTTCTCCATCTCACCTGATTCTTACATGTTCACTCTTTTTCATGTTTCCATGGCCTGAGCTTCCCCAGAGAAGCACATAGTTTGGGTATATTAGATAAAGGGCTAAAGAGAGTTGAGGCATTTCTCTTGGTCCTTGTGCTTTGAATAATTCTTATTTTTTCATAAATACATGTTATTCTTATGGCATCTTATCCTGCAGATCAAGTTAAAATGTTTTCTGCTGCTTTTAAGTGAGAATCAAGTCCACTATCCCAAGTTTCCCAAATTCAGCAGAGGCTTTACCAGCTCATAATGATCTCACATAATGTTTTACCCACTTCCCATTCCCTCTCTTACCATTCTCAATGGGGTTGGAAAACTGGTCCTTGGGTTCTGGAAGTATTGCACGGAGAGTTCCAAGCCCTTAATTATGGCTGTCAGTTTCTATCTCAATTTTAACCTTAGGCACTTCTAACTGAGTATCACCCTCTTGCAGATTAAATTTTGTGCCTCTGTGTTCTTGGATATCCATCAAGATCACAGTTTAACTCCACCCAGACATGGCTAACTTTATAACTGAATATAAGGGGATAATTGAGATTCTGAAGGATTCAGAATTTCTTGATTAGGTAAGTGCACTCTGTTTACCACAAACTTTGTGTGACACGGTGTTTCTGTGATACTGGATCAATAACTTTTAGGACATGAAGTTAAGAGGAGAGTGAAGAACCAATCCAGACTGCTCTCATTAGGTTTTGCTAACTTGATACAAGCTAGAGTCATCAGGGAAGACACACTTTAATGGAAAAAGTGCCTTCATTATATTAGCCAGTCAGCAAGTCTGTTGGGGAATTTTTCTGATTGATTGATAATTAATATCGGAAGGCCCAGTCCATTGTTTGTGGTTCTAACTTTGGGTAGTTGGACCTAGATGGTATAAGAAAACAGGTTGAACAAGCCACTGCAGGGTAAGCCTGTAAGAAGGGCTCTTCTATGGCCTCTATTTCAGTTCCTGTTTTGAGTGAAAAAGGAATAAAACTTATGCCAAGGAAGTGCTGAAGCATGTGTAGGCAGCCCATATTGGATTTCATGGTCTAAGTTGATGAAGATGACTGACCAGATCTCTCTTTCCTTGTCTTGAGTGCCTGTCTGTAAGCTACCAGATGGAATAAATCCTATCCTTCACAAGTTCTTTCAGGATATTGTGTTTTATCACGAAAATATAAGCGTAACTAGTACAGAGACAATGCCTTGTCACTTTATCAAATGTGTATTCCCCTTAAACCCTCCTGAATTTTCTAAATTCCAGTGAGCCATGGAGGGGAGCACCTGCATCAAGGGAATGCTATTTTTTTTTCTATGAGAGGAGAAAGACTTTTGGACTTAAGAGTTTTCTTACTTTGGGTTTTCTGACTCTTATTCTATGCCAGAGCTCTTCTTAGAGAAGATATCTGAGTTACCATTTACCTTAAGAAAGGCTGGGTTAGGGTCCTTACCTGAGACTTGAATATCAAGGGGATTACTTGATGTTGACCACATCTGAGTATTATTCATAAAACAGCCATAGCATCTGAATGTCCCGTTGTGGTTAGCAGTCACAGAACCCAGAACAAAATGAGCCTGAAATAGCATGTTGGTTAGTTGCTGTGAGTCCAGTGTCCATGAGAGGTTATATTTTCCTTCCTGGATCAGAATGAATCTGTCAAACCCCAGTGATGAGATACACTGCATGGTTATGCACTCTCCTGAAGTTACAGCAGGGCTGGGCCAGACGTACAGGCTTGGTTCATCATAGGCTCCTGGAATACAAGGGGCAATGTGTGAAATGAATTCAAGCTACCTACATTGCCCTGCAAGTTTGGGCTCTGAGAGAAGCTCCCCTGGAGAGCTGAACTCCTGAGGCGAGAGATTTGTTGGCACCCATTAGTCTCCACTCACCTGTTAGTACCAGCACAAGGGTGTCACTGTGCTCTGACAAGCCAGCAGGACTCTTATAGTAACACTTGTATATCCCTGCAAAGTCCTTTGACATTTCGTCAATGTGGAACTTAGCCTTGTTCTTCTGTTCCAGAGGGAACTGTCTGTCCCAAGGATCTATGCTTCCCTCTTTATGCATATAGTACTCCTGGGCCTCCCAGGACCCCTGACACCAAATAATCACAGGCATATGTTGAGCAATCACAAGGCCCGGCTCAGCCCAGATGGTGGGCTTTTGGAGGATTCCTGCAAGAAACTCAAAGGTTGAGTCCCAGTATGTTCTCCTGCTCAGACCCCAGGTTTTAATAGAGAGCATTCACAGAAATTACAGCATTATCCACATACTCTTTTCTTTACGTTCATCACAAAGAGTTGATCCAGATGGCAGAAAAAGTAATTTCTCGTCTTTAGAATGAGGAATAAAATCTTGGAATGGATGAAGACACTCACCTGCCAGCACTGCAGTCTTGCGTCCCATACTCAGACCTGGAAGAAAATTGTCTTTGAGTGTTTTATTTAATCTGAGAGTTGGGCTGAATCCCCCTGTCTCTCCATATGAGAACAGATTTGGCTTTGGAGTAGGGTTCCTTACAGACTTGAAGTCTACTCTCCCTCTTCATATCTCACCAAAACACAACAGCATTCTGAGCATCGGGGTCATAGTGAGTCTTGTTATATTTCTTGCTTGTGCTCCTGGGCTGTCTGGCCAGGTTCTGTAGAACCATCAGACAAGCTGTCTTCATTCTGAGGGCAGATGCTTCCTGTCATGTGTTTGCCACATCATTACTATCACCAGAAGGGGAACTTCTCTATTACCCCAGTGCAGGCGTTTGGTCAAATACCCAGGTCTCTGAAAAGTCTTTCTAAAAAAAAACTGAGTTTTTCTCTATTCTTCACAGATTTCCCCCTGTCCTGTGTGTTTTCTAAGCCAGGGAATGAACATCCACATGTCACAGCGTGTCATTTTACAAAGAGAAACAATTGCAAAGAGAAACAATTTTAGACCCCAAATGTTCAAAAGTGATGTTGGTCAATTTCAGCACAGTGTTCTAAGAAAAGGCTTATTTATGATATTGCAGTGTGAGGCCATAAACTCAAGGTGGCTCCATAGCCTCAAGTCAAATATTCCTTATTGCAGGGTTAGAAGCAGATTCTGCTCTCTTTCCTCCCTCAGCTCCTATGGACTTTCACATCTTTCGTCACAATGTTCTGATTTACTGCAGCCAAGGACAAGCATTTTCCAATTCTACTTCTTCTTATTTGTTTCTGTGAGACTGACTCTTTTGCCTACTTGTTTATATTATCAAGACTGTGAGACTGACTCTTTTGTTTGTATTATCAAGATGTTATATTGTGTGAAGACCATCTGACTTAAGTATCTAAGACCTCCTCTTAGATACTTAAGTACTCTCTGGCACCAGAGGTAATAAGTTCTGATTCTTGCCATAAGATTTAGACACTTTGGTTCTATTATTATGCTTGGAAGAGGAATTTTTAGTTTCCCATTTCAACTTTGGTGACTGTTTTCTTTTTCTTTTTTAATTTATTTTTATTGAGCTCTACATTTTTCTCTGCTTCCCTACCTGCTTCTCCCCTCCCCTTCAACCCTCTCCCAAGGTCCCCATGCTCCCAATTTACTTAGGAGATCTTGTCTTTTTCTACTTCCCATGTAGATTAGATCTATGTATGTCACTCTGAGGGTCCTCATCATTGTCTAAGTTCTCAGAGATTGTGATGTTTGGGCTGGTTTTCTTTGCTTTATGCTTAAAAACCACCCATGAGCGAGTACATGTGATAATTTTCTTTCTGTGTCTGGGCTACCTCACTCAAAATGATGTTTTCTAGCTTCATCTATTTTTCCTGCAAAATTCAAGATGTCATTATTTTTTTGCTGTGTAGTACTCCATTGTGTAAATGTACCACATTTTCCTTATCCATTCTTTGGTCGAAAGGCAATTAGGTTGTTTCCAGGTTCTGGCTATGACAAAGCTGCTATGAACATAGTTGAGCATTCTTTAGATATATATCCAAAAGTGGTATTGCTGGGTCTTAATAAGGTTGTCTCCTAATTTTCTGAGAAATTGCCACACTGACATCCAAAGGGGCTATACCAGCTTGCACTCCCACCAGCAATGCAGAAGTGTTCCCTTTACCCCCACAAACTCTACAGAATAAGTTGTCATCAGTGGTTTTGATCTTGGCAATTCTTACAGGTGTAATATGGCATCTCAGAGTTGTTTTGATTTTCATTTCTCTGATGACTATGAATGTTGAAAGTTTCCTTAAGTGTCTTTCAGCTATTTTAGATTCCTCTGTTGAGAGTTCTCTGTTTATGTCTGTACTCCATTTTTATTGGATTATTTGTTCTTTTGATGACAAATATTTGAGTTATTTGTATATTTGGTGATCAGACCTCTGTCTCAGTCTCTCTTCTTTCAACACCTCCTGAAACTTTCCAAGCCAATCTTCCTTCCAATTACATTTCTTCTTGATCATTAGAATTTTCATTTGTTCTGATTTAAGTCATAAGTCTGGTTGAGAATTATTCTTATAACTATCATCTTCTTGGAAAACAAGTTTTGTGTCTATAAGCATTTGGATTGGATGATCAAGATGTATTTGAAATAGGTAATCTTTAATTACCTTCTATGTTCTAGGTCATAATACATACTTAAGAACACATTCCTGAATTTATACATCTTTTTAAAGATTTATTTTATTTTTTCACACCCTCCACAACTTTTGTTCATCTGTGTGTGTGTCTTTGTGTGTGTTCTGTGGGTAAAGGTGTTCTAAGATGTCAGAAATGTTTGATATTTTTAAACTGGCATTAAAGACAGACAAGATGATTATAACTGAACTTGTATCTTCTGCAATATTAATCAATGCTCTTTAACACAGAGCTATGTTGAACCTCATCATGAAATCTCTCTAAGGACAGCACTGTCACCAAGACACCCTCAGTCCTCATAAAGTTGCTTCAACTTTGGCCCACTTTTTTGTTTTATGTATAGAGAAGGAAAAATATGATTTATGTGACATTGGTGAGTGCAATTCATATAAATTGAAAACAACATAGGTGTAATAATTAATTTCATGTCTTTCTTTACATTTTCTGGGCAACATACCTTATTTTCCTGCACAAAGATCTGAAAGAATAATTATATAATTGTAAAATTGGCATTAAGAGATATAATTAAGAGGATAAGTATTACCAAAGAATGGTTTTATAGTTCTGTAAATTTGTAAATTACACATGATAATATTTTTGTTCATGGCCAACTATGAACTTCATATTTGTAGGCATGTAATGCAATAGTGCATGAAGCTAACAAACCCTAAGAAAAAATAATAATATGTGAAAATAAGAAAAATAATAAGAAACCAATGACGACAAAACACAGATTAAAACTGAACCTGTTGTTTTGACATAAAAATGGCAAAGCCTCAAGTAAATCAAACAAATAAAGTTTATATAAGAATAAATCAATATTCCTAGAACTGGTTTCTGGAATTTTGTTTGCAGATTTTATGGAAACAGATAACATACCAGGGAAGGAACCACTTCAATGATACTTGCCTATTTACTTTACCTTTAAGAAAATTCATATATATTTCTTACTATGTCATATACAACTGTCTCCATTTCTGTCCCTTCCTCTAAATTTTATGCCTTTCCTCTACACATACAATTGATTCCACAGATAAGCTGGCCATGTGTTACTCTGTCTTGTTTGTTAAGCTACCTTCCAAAGTTAAGTAAGACTAATGCAGAAAAAAAAACATTTGTGTGCAGCCTAAAGACACCAAACACTTAGGAACATGAAGATAAAGAACAGATACCAGTGCTGTGGGCTCATGTTTGTTGACAGAATATGGAGAAGTTGCCCAGAAACTGTAAATATGACTCAACAGGAAGAATATACTTCTGAAATCTATTGCAAAACCTGTAACACATAATGCACACCATAATAACACCAGAACAGTCCATACATTAACATATATGTGTTGAGATATATTCATATATTGAGATATATGATATTGAATTATTTAGTACACTTTGTGCATCTGTAATATAATTACTTTGTATATCATAAGAGATTAAAACATTTGTTACATTGCAAAATGAAGCAAATCAAAAATATAAATAATTTAAATTGTCAAGAACAGATAATGAATATACAAAAAAACCCTATAAGGCCCAGAATGAAGCAACCCTTAGACACTATGTTGTGCTGAATCTACTGACTTCCATTTCCCATATGCCCAGCTACTTTGTGTGTACTCCAGGCATTAAGTATGGACACTAAGTTCTGATATTCTCTTTTTCATTCTTCATAAAAGGACTAGGAGAATATCTACTTTCAGAACTGAAACACAGCCTGGGAGAAGAAAACAGAAACAGAGTCAGTAGCAAACATAGAACGAATTTTAACTTCAGGCCCAGAAGTCACTGAATTGAAGGATTAAAGATGAATTTCAAGAGGAGCTCTCAGACATGAATTAACATGGATCTGAGAGTAAGTCACACTTTTAATCCTCCAAAGCATACTGCTTTTTTGTCAGAGATGTCTTCAACTAAGGCTTTCTGGATGTTGTGATAGTCTCAATATCATATAGGTAGAACTGTTCCTCAATATCCTCATATTAGTAGAGATTGGTATATGATAATCTCAGCTCAAAATTGTAAAAAGTTCCATAGTCTCTGAGAAAAGTGAAAGCTATGTACAACTTCTAGGGATCCCAAGCATCTTATGGAAGCTGCTGATACAAGCCTTTGTTCTTTTAGTGATGTTGGTGTAGCCTGTCCACATCACCTACAGCAGAGGCCTCAGAGTACTTGGATCTCTCATCCTTTTTAACCCATTTCATATTTACCATTCCATCTTTCTTCTTTCTCATATAGACTCTCTTCACTGGTTTATGACTCATAGCTGGCTTTTTAGAAATAAAAGTGATATGGGTGAAGGATTTATATATGGCCTATGTCTTTAATTGGAATTGGCTACTCTTTTAATCATTTCCTGAAATTCATTGGTTTGGTGCACTATTATTCTTTGATTCCAGATTCATTGAGTTTCATCACTTCTCATTTAAGAAATAAGGAAACATGTCAATATTGACATCCCTGTATATAAAGTGAAACAAAGTAGAAATATTCTCCGCTTTATAGAAAGGGTTGCTTTGGGGGGAAGTAGTGAATAATTGAAAGTGATTGCACAACTTAATCAAATATGTGAACTACCATAAGTCTCATGAAAGAAATATTGAGAGAATAAAGAAATTTGGGAGTCAAGGAGGCATTTGTGAGTTGAGGAGTGGATGCAAAGCTGAGAGGACAATAGTACTGGACATGGGTAGGTTACTGACTTTATCTAAATGAATGACTTTATGAGGTAGAGATGAGAATCCTGTAGTATCATGAGCAGAGAACTTGTAACCCGTGTCCTTTACCATATCATTATATTCAAAGATTGTGTAAGGATGACAAAACCAGTTATTTTCCAAGTGTAATCTACCTAATAAGAAAAGTATCATGAAACTAATGCTTTTCTTGACTTTAGGGAAGGAATTCTCAGTTCAGATAGGGAACATGAGTATTCAAAATGTCACTGTAACTCATTATATCACAGAGAACAGGTTGTTATGGAGATATGTTGTGGTGGTAGACTGGATGAGTTTTCAAGAGAATATTATCAAGTTACATTATATACATTTAAAAAATTATCTCATCTTCATTGGAGCCTGA